CTCCGGTGGCGGCGGTGCAGTAGCTCCTTCCGTCTTCTCCATCTCCGACTTGGTGCTGGCCATGCTGACTTCAGCATGCCCCCGGCTCCACCCGCTCGCTTTGGTCACTTGGCAGTGGGGGCGCGACATGCCAGCCCACGCGCGCGCCTAGCGGCAATGTAGAAGCGGTGCGGTGGCCTACCTGCCCACGTGCTTGCATCATCGGCGTCAAGGTCAAGCACGGCGCATGCCCGCCTACGCGCCACCCCACAAAGAGCGCCGTGACACCTTCCACGCCACGCTCGCATAGATAGCGATGTAGTAGTAGTGTGGCGCTTGATGGCCGCCTGCTGCTTCGCTTTGGAGGCTGCAGAATGGCCCGCACACGCGCTTGCCGGCCATGGGGCTAAGGGCTGGGCTCGAGGTTGCTCGACCGGGGGACGGGGCTCCGGCTAGCCAAACTAGGGCAGGCGGCATGCGGCCGGCGGTGCGACGCGCTGGGCGGGCCTGCGAACGGGATGCAATGGAGGTGGGGGTCGGGTAGCTGGTCGGCCGGGACACGGTGGCTCGCGGGGTAGAGCGGAGGGGGCGGCCAGGAACGAGGAAGAAAGTGTTTGGGAGAGGGATGACAAGTGGGCCCGATATGTCAGAGTGGGACAGAGGGAGACGAACAGGGTCAAAAGTGTCCATACGAAAATATGTTAGACTTTAGATGCTTGAAAGTGGGCCCAATATGCCTTTCGGTGTACATAATGACGTATTTCAAAGTAGGAAACAATTGTAACGCCACTGGCATAGTTTCTTGAATAGTAATGGTGTACTTTAAAAACGGCGAAGTTATAATGGCACGGATCCAATTAACCCTATTGCTTAATTGGATTAGTAGCTGTCTGAATATTGGTGCTGTTTTTGTTTACCTGAGTTACAAGGACTAGACACTGATGTGTAGTAACTAGCAAGGAAGCGCCAGTAAAGTAATATCTGCTGAATGGTACAATCTAGAGTGAAAGTGAATATCATCGGGCGCTGTTCTCAAGTTAGTGATTACACAAACACTAATGTACTTCAGCACGAACCTAAGTGGAGTGGGAGAAGCTTAGCAACTGTTAAGACAAAACCCCAGCCACACAGACCTGAATATAAATTTCAATCCCCCAATTCTCTAATTCCCAATCTACTTCTCCAGTTCCAGTAGATAGCTAGCACACATCCTTAATGAAATCACTAAAAGTCTACACTTGCACTTGGCTGCAGATTGGTATAGACAAAAAAGACAGCAATCTGTAAATTAACTGTTGAACCTATTCGGTCTGTACCAAGCCAGCCCTTTGACCAAAGAATAAAAAACATTAGTATAACGAATTAGAAAGCCTATCTTCATTCCCTATTCGTTTCGACTAGTTCTGCACTCTCAATTCCACCGAAAACTTCAAAGCATCACACTGAAATCAATAACTCCCTGCATGAAATGGAACTTTGTATTGCTGTACATGGTTGCCAACTTGGATCTGATGTTTAATGAGCAATGGCACCCATGTTCCAACGAACATGGGACCTAGTTAGCAAACAAATTTGAACCTACATCACTACAACAGATACAATACTGATTTTGAGTATTAACACAGCAAAGCATAAAAACTGATTGGTGCACAATAAAGAAACTTCACAGGTGAATAGTCTGCTGCTCCCTCAGCCACATTGCCAGCATTGATATTTGCACAAATTTGACTGCATGTTTTCATTACATCTTCCGATTCTTTTCTTAGCTTGCAACCAATTAAAAGAATCAGGTTTCCTGTGAAACAGATGACCCAGGCTTCTGTCAATATATTCCTGAGAATTTGAGATTAGACATCATCTGAAGGCTAAAATTAATTCATTTATGGAACTAGTGTTGGGCTGTGATGCATTTAACTCTCACATATCTCAGGAGTCAGGCCTATCTGCTCCAAACACAGGTCTCATCTAGTCAGTGTGACACGAACACACTGAGTGGCATCTCTCCTGAATACTAACAGTATCCCAATGCTATTCCATTGTGCTTTTCAAAGACTTAAGGCTCAAGACCCTGGTTTTGGTTTTTGCAAAGACATATTCACAGATTCACTAACAGTATCCCATGCTATTCCATTGTGCTTTTCTTCTTCGCAAGTCTAGGGCTTAGCTGATCACACATTTCTTTCAACATGGCCCTTGGCACATATCCACAATAATGCACCACAAAATTCTCATCTAGTGCCATATGTCAGCATATACTACTAGTTAAATAGAAGAAAAAAAAACTAAATATTTTATCATAGTGTTTGCAGAGCGAAGCCTCCCTGTCTACGCCTAGCCACGCCAATATGTATCTTTTTGCAGTTTGCAAATATGTATCAAACTGCAAAAAGAGTATACCTAAGGTGTTGCCTACGTACGGCACCCTCCGGGCTCCGGCACATCCAATAAGTCGAGTTTTTTTAGTATTGAGAAAACCTTTCATGCATCGAGATATCAGACGCTAACACTGGTTTTTGTTTTTGCAGCGTGCCGTGCAGTGCTTTTTCGACGGTTCCGAGGTTGCGCAGGTCTTTCCGTTTCGGTCAAGCATTGCCCTGCGACGGAATGGGTGGCAAATACTTAAAAAAAATTCTTAACAAAAATACATAGCCATTTTCTTAAAAAATAGTCCAATACTCAACCAGTATATATATTGAACGCTTTACCAACTGTCTACACTCGGCGCGGGGCGCGCCCACCCTAGTATACCAAACTCTGCACTCAGCAGAGTACCAAACTCTATAAAAGGGAGGCTTCGCTCAGAGCATTGGGCGAGGCGCGGTTGTCTCCCCTGGCCACTGCTCGGCGACAGTGCCTCCGGACGTGGGTGCTTCAGAGAAGTGCCGTGACACCGCCGAGCATCGTCCGTCCCCCCTGGTATGAGCACTTCTTCGCAGAGCTGAAGCTACACCCCTTTTACGTAAATCTGTTGTATAGTATTTTTCCCTTAGTGCCAGGAGAGTCTTCGCATCGCTTGATGCATCGAAGTAATCTTCGAGCACCGTCGTGTTCATTCTTAGATTTCTTTTCCCAATTATTTTGTTTTCTAGCCTATAGATCTAGATATTGGGCTAAATCTTGTCAAACTCCCGCCCAAAGAAAGAGATAGGAGAGGCAGAGTCGCTGAGTGAAGAACGAGCGGCGCTCGTCCCCCTCCCCGACTCAAGCTTTCATGCGGTCTCACCGATAGGCGACGGTGCTAACCCTATCGGCAGGAGCTCCGGGCACCAAGCGCCGTCCTCCGCCTGGCCGGTCCCTGATGCTCACCAGTACGCCACGCCCACGCGCGGATGCGCTACCGCCTCTCGGTGCCCTCTTGGCCACCTGCCCACCTGGGTCTGGCAGCAGGGCGCAAGCGTAGCTAGCCAGCTGCACGCCTGCACTAGCTGAGCAGAGCGACCGTGTGGGCAGGGGCAGCCGCCAGCTGCCCAGAGCCCCAGACCCTAGAGCCACAATCCGCACTCCACAGAGTGCCAGAGCCGGCCAGAGGCAGGCAGCAAGCACGGAGGCAGGAGGCCATGTGGTGTTTGAGTTTGACCATAACGTGTTTGAGGAAATGTCCGACCTGTGAGGTGAGTAGTTTGTACCGGCTCCTGTGTGCTAGTCTGCAACTATTTTCATTTACTTGAGAGTTGAGATAATTTTTTGTATCATCTCATGGAGCACCTGAAAGGCTAGAACAACATCCTTTAACACAAAGGATATGCGACGATGGACATCCATGACAAATCTGCTTAGAAAAAAATAGAATTATAAAGTATCTTACTGAATGATATATAATTTGGATGAGAAGGCGAATCAAACCATCATTTCTTAGATATTTTTTAACCACTTTCATGTTTTCATTGATTATGCTGTGGATTTAAGTATGGAATTTTGATACCATCTAAAACTATGCTTTTATGAGCTAGTTTTATTTAATATCAGTATTAGTCGCAACGCTGGTGGTATATGACCTGATGTGGGCGTTTGAATTGACGAGCTCCACCACTGGCGCCCAGACACTGTGCTTGTGCCCCCCATGGAAGTGAGCATCCTTGTGAGCAGCGTGGATGTCATCCAGACACCGTGCTTGCTTGATCGTGTCCCTTCCCAGTGTTCACAACAGGGACATGAACTTGTCGAGGAAGAGGAAGAGAGAGAGAGAGAGAGAGAGAGAGCATGAGACCAGTAGCCAACGTGACGACAGCCGACCCACAACATGCGCAGGCCGAGTGCTGAACCACGAAGCTAGAAAAGAGAAGGAAGAAAAACCACGAAGATTCTTGGGCCGGTTAATGGGCCACCCAATGAAGAACTATGGTGTTGGACTGCTAGTTAATCCAAGTCCGGCGGATCAGATAGATTGACATGGATTCGCTCCAGCCTGGGGCTTATACCTGTCGCTGGGTATTCGGCACCCGTATCCAAATTCACACCCATAGTATTTGGGTAGGGTAAGGATAAAAATATATTATCCAATTAAGTCTGGGCATGGGTAGGGTATACCCATTTCGAATCAGGGTAATACTCGCTCATTCACATGCAGTCAGCGGTTGAGCTCTTTCTGTGGGATCCCTGAGGACGTAATTGCAGTTCAAATTTATTTCATATTTTCGTTTTAAATAACAAAGGTAAACCTAGATGTAAAAGGCTTAACCCTAGGTCGCATCAAGTAGGTCTTCGGCAGTTCATGGGCGAGCTGCTCCAAAAGGGGGGAGAAGTGTCATGGGTGTTGGGCCCAGGATGGCCCAGCCTGGGCTGGCGTGAACAAAATCTGTGGTACTGTTGCATGGCCAAAAATAGACCACTCGGTTAACTAGTTGCCTCCGGCTATGTCCAGCGTCCAAATAATGTTGCTTCTTTCTTTTTTCTTTTGATACGGACGTTGCTTCCTCCTACGGAGTATAACACGAAACGGCATAACACCTGCCCTGCCCCAAAGATTCCTCAAAAAGAATTGGGAAAAGAAATCTAAGAATGAACACGACGGTGCTCGAAGATTACTTCGATGCATCAAGCGATGCGAAGACTCTCCTAGCACTAAGGGGAAAATACTGTACAACAGATTTACGTAAAAGGGATGTAGCTTCAGCTCTGCGAAGAAGTGCTCATACCAGGGGGGACGGACGATGCTCGGCGGTGTCACGGCACTTCTCTGAAGCAGCCCGCGTCCGGAGGCACAATATGCAGAGCAGTGACCACCACTAGTTAAATAGAAGAAAAAAAAACTAAATATTTTATCATACGTGCATAATAGCAAGTGTTACAACACCACACTTACACATAAAGCAAGCTTAGAGTGTCAAGACTAAACTAAAATTGCTAAGTCTGCTTGTCACGTTTATATTTATCAGCTAATTCCATCAGCTTATGGGTTCCCAGCAGATTCAACACGCACATTGGCAAAAGAAGCAGGAGCCATACCATCAGTGGACCCACCTCATCAAGGCCAGGTAATTTTGTGTAAAACAGATAGACGTATAAGATGATTTGTAGCAATACATAAGGATTCTGAAAAACATCCACAGAAATTAAAAATGTTAGTTATGAATTTTGTAACACTACAGTTGCATTTGCCATAATTATCAGAAAGGAGAATATTACATATCAGTAATTCTATCGCTAGCATATAGTGATATTACTGTAACAAAAAGAGTCCCACTGAAACTTTCGGAAGGATAGATAGTCTACGCATTATCAGTATAATGGTTGAGGAGCTTATAAAAACAAAAGCATTGGAACCAGTGGGAGAGCTTGAACCAAGCAGCAGGAGAGGGGGGGCACTTTGGCCTGAATAAAGCTCTGCCTCTGATTGAAACTGGGTGGTATTTGCAACTTCGACCAGATGATACATAGCTAATTCAAAATTGGATTAAATAGTCATACAAGTCAAGCTATCAAACAACGAAAAAAATACATGCACAAATACTTGGGCTTCCACAATCCCATGAGTAACAAAACTCAGTCTGCCCCTAACCCTGCTACCTGTTCTCCCTAACAAATGTCCTTAAGTAATTGATTTACCACCACATACCTCAGGACAGGACTTATTAACTGAAATGTGAACAAAGCAGTAAAGCAGAGAAGACACTAGATGCCATTTTTGCTAGAAGTTAGGAATATTGTGCGGCAAACTATCCTAACGTTATCCTGTGTAATGCAAGTTCTTGAAATTTGGCTATCACAGAAGTTTTAACACTAGCACAGAAGATGTAAAGATTTTTATCACAGCAGCTTCGAAACTATTTTATATGGCTGAACTTCCCATAATTTTGAGAACTTTGTAAGCATTTTCGGGCTCTTCTAGAACCATATCAATCAACCAATTTTTCTTGAGTGACATACAAGCTCCAAACTGGCTGCAGCAGGTACAGTTCACTGACTTCATTCTTCACTCCGCTGCACATTACTGAACTCAACGAAGCCCAAGTTAATCAAACCAGCAATCGGAGGAATCCTACCAAAGTTAGCACCAAGCATGCAGAGCTCGAATGAAGTGACATTGCAGCTGGTGGTTCTGGTGGAAGGACAAAACTGGAGGGAGCTGATTACAACAGCAACAGGCATGGCGGCATGGGTAGCAGGAGCACCGAGTATCACACCTATTACAGCCATCGCGGCAGGCGGTAACACTGAAGAGTAGCAGCTGTGGTGGTTTATTTGGATGCTCTGAATTATCTGCCCACTCACTCATTTACAGAGCCGTGCAGTGACCGATTCATGACAACGCCTACTGGGTTTGGGCAGCCAGAGCCGGCACCGTTAACTTTCTCGATGCACATCCTCACCGAGGCATGCCCCTCCGCCGCCGTGCCGCTCCCGGCCACAACGGCGACCCCAGTCCCCAAGTGCTGAGTTGGAAACCCCTATAGATGCGCGAAAACTAATGAATCCCCAACGCCACAACTTCCCGCTAGATAATAAAAGAAAAGCATGAATCTTCGGATGACGGCACACGGCGAGGCAATTATGGACAGATTTTTCGATTTTCTTTCTTCCTCGAACTACAGATAAAAGGGCATAAGGCATATGTGTTCAGCACGTGCTTACCTTGAAGAATCCGGACCAATCGAATCGTCCTCCGTTCTCCCTTCGTTCTTCTGGCACGCCGGCGCCGCCTTCCGCCTTCGTCACTTCCATCCCCTCCGCCCCGATTTTGCTCCCGGTGCTAGGAATGCCATCTACCAAGAAGTCAACGGGGCAGACGTGGGCTCTCTGGGCTGGGTATCGAAGTCGGACAGGTGGGCTGGCCTGGCCCAATGGGCGCAAAGACAAGCACTATATATTCTCTACTTATATTAGTATAGTATATACAAAATACCACATAAAATGATTAGAATAAATAAAAAGAAGAAGGAAAATATTTTATTGTAATTTTTAAAAGGAGAAAAATGAAATAGAAAAAGGATATATTTATACCTACTTAAAACATGTATCCGAGATGGGCCTTCGTGACCGTGGGGTAGTTGGAGGCTATACCTACTTAAAACATGTAGAAGAGCTAGTAAGAATGGGGGACGACACCTCCAAACCTATGATTGTCCATCAACCGAAAAGCCACAAAGGCCTCTCAGCCCATGCTACAACCTAAGGCCATGTTCAGTTAGGGACGGGGTTGGTCGGGATTGTGCTTCGACTGTATCACGTGAGACTTGTGAGACTTCCTCACGTAAGTTCTCACAATGCTCGTCAGGCTTGTTTCAAATCTTATAGTTTTTCTGGAAACTCCTACTTAGTAGGTGAAATTATATCAGCTCAATGTTCTTAAACTGCTTTTTATTTTGCAATCAACACATGGGCAGTGTATGTATCCTTGACCCTGTACGTTTGACGGCTTTTTCACCTCCGTCGCTTGCTCCCGCCTACGTGTATATTAAAAAAACTAATCCCTTCGCTTCCTCATCCCCATCCTTACCCCTTTTGCGCTCCTCATCCACTACTGTAGCGCACCAACGCCCGGCGTCCTCATCGGGAGCCCCCAATGCCTGTAGATCTAGCGGCCCTCTCCCCCACCCCGGCGAGATCTATGGAGCACGAGCGAGATCCATGGAGGTGGCGTGGCGGTGTTGCAAGTGAGTGGGTGGCTCACCCCCACCTCGGCGCGGCGCCCTCTCTAACCCCAGCAACCGAGCTCCCCCCACCGTCGCCGCCGAGCCAAGCTCGGTGTCGGTGGCGCTGGTGGTCGTGGTGCTCGTGCGCGCCGCTAGTGCTGGTGCTGGGTGGTGCTCGTGTGCAGCCGCTCGCCGCCGGCTCCCACCCCATCGGCCAGAATCGACCGGCCCAGGCCTCTCCCCCCCTATATTGTAAATGTATGTTTCAATTGTTTCAGATGTTTCAAAGGCATGTTGCAATTGTTTTATATGGATGTTGCGAAAGTAGATCAATGGATGTTGCACATGTTGTAAGTGTTTTAGAGGCATGTTGTAAGTGTTTGTTCAAACAGTTTCATTTGTTTCTATACATATGTTGCAAGCGTTTTGATCTGGATGTTGCATATGTTTTCACACATATGTTGCAACAGTATGTTCCAAAATATTTCATCTATTTCAGTCTTCTGTTAGGTGCAGCAAGTGTTTTCATGTTACAAGTTGCAAATATTCTATCTGGATGTTGAATATGTTTTCACACTAGTGTGTATTCCAGATGTTTCATCTGTTTCAGACGTATGTTGCATTCAAGTGTTTCATGTTGCACGTGTTTCCTACTGTTCAGAGAGTCAGGGACGCCAAGGAATGGGGCGCGGTGAGCCGTGGCCGACCAGACGTGGCGTCTGCGGTGTCTTGGGGCCAGCGGGGGCACGACAGTATGGGGTGTACTGCAGGGCGGGCGAAAAGATGGGGATGGGGGCGGGGTGCGCGGATGGGGGCAGATCTGGCATTGGGGCAGGCACTGGCGTCCGATGGAATTCATCCCCATCGGACGTTCGTGCGCTAGCATTTCCCTTTGTTGATTGGAATTTTGAAAGCGACTGCAATCCTCCCGGTGATCCATTTGATGCTGGATGGATAGCTTCGTTGCGTTCTGTGCCCTTGCCCGTGTCTTTGGAGTTGCGGTTATGCTTGTATGGTTTGATTTCGATTAAAAAATTAGCATAGGCCAATTTGTCAACACAAACTCTGTTGCTCTCCTAAAAAAAAAGAAAAAACCAACAAAAATTCTTTTTCGAGACCCTTTTGCCACTTTTAGCCTTCTTATTACTAGGTTTTTATTGCTTGTTGCCCTTTTGTCACTTTGCATTGTGGGGCTAATAATCAAGTGGGAGCTGAGCGAATCCATTCCAATGACAGCAAGAATGATCACATCGATAAGCTTATGCTTCTTTTGACAACAATATAGCATTCCCATCTTGAAAACAATAGTGAGCGGTGAGCCATCATGTTCTCCTCGATAATCGCCTGACAACAATGGAGAATCGCATACACTAGCCAGGGCCCTAGTACGCCACCTGTGGTGAGAAACTTTTGTGGTTTTGTCTCCCAACCTCTACGTTTTTTCTACTTTTCATTTTATGTATGGTGATGACATCAACTTGTTCATGCCTCCAATCAGCTGATCGATACTCCAGCAAACAGAGATGCTGTGAACAGGATGAAGGTAATTTTAATTTACCCTAACTTCTTTCCCCTTTGCCTAGCATTCAAGGGTACAGCTAAACTATTTTTTTGTTGCAATGAAAAGTGGATCACTCTTGTGCCAAAAAGAACAAGAAAAAGAAAAAACATACCGAAACCATCAAAACATGGTCAGATGTAAGATATCCTAGCAATTGATGTTCATGCAAATCTTTGTGGAATTCACTAGACCTTTTGTTGGCTTGTTCCTCAATTTGTACATACCTAAAGTGAACATACAAACACTTGAATCATGAATATGTAAATGCATGTTCATCTCACTTCGTTGTTTCAAACAAGGTTTACTAGGTTCCATGCACTCTATTGCGGATAAGCTGCTTGTGTTCTGTACTTCTGTCTTGTCATGGTTACTGTCGAACGCCTCTGCCCCGAAGGCAGGACAGAACGTTGAGGACCTTGGGATGCAATTCCTTATCATGGGAACTCTCATACTATACCACATCAACTTTTATATGTTGTTTCTCGCTTCAAAATTCAAGGACGGCGAGTCAATCGATGGTGTTCTATTTAAGTTCAATATGTGGCTGTTGCCTCAAGGACGGCTTAGATTTTTTCAAGAATTAATTAGGCTTAATAGAATTAGTATTTATTTATATAATTAGTCAACGTTTAATACTCTTAATTAGTATCAAACATTCGATCTGATAGGGACTATAAAAAAACTTGACCCGCGGGCTGTATGACAGCCCCGGGCATTGTGTATAAGAAGAAGACCTTCTCACGCAGGGCGAGAAAATCCCCGAACCTCTGCCCCACCCATACACATCGGCACCGCAGCTCTTGTGAGAATGAGCTGGCCTTAGACCCGTGCTTTGGCATGGGACAGATGAGGGAATTTTTTCAACGTGCAGATAAACTGCGCCTCCTTCGGCCAACAAATCCACCCCCGAGGGGATTCAAACTCTGACAGGCCGGGTAGAACCAAACACTCTGAAAGGTCCTAATATGGCTAGTGGGGGGGTGAATAGCCTATTCAAAAATCTACAAACCAACTAGAGCAATTTGATTAGTATGACAAATAACGAAAAGCAAACTTGCTCTAGCTTTACAAGGGTAGCAAGCCACATATCCAACAATTCTAGTTGTTATGATCACTAGGCACACAATCTACTAGGTCACTACTCACTAAGAGCTCTCACAACTGCTACACTAAAGAGCTCCACTAGATGAACTTAATCTACAAAGCAAGCTCTCAATTCTAGCTACACTAAAGAGCTTGCTATAGCTAGTTTACGGGAATGTAAATGAGTAAGTGAGGTGATTATATTGCCGCGTAGAGGAGTGAACCAATCATAAGATGAATACTTAATCAATCATAGGGAGAATACCAAAGGACAAGAGACAACCAATTTTCTCCCGAGGTTCACGTGCTTGCCAACACGCTACGTCCCCGTTGTGTCGACCAACACTTGGTGGTTCAGCAGCTAAGAGGTGTTGCACGAACCTCGTCCACACAATTGGATACCGCAAGAACCTACCCACAAGTGACATAACTCAATGACACGAGCAATCCACTAGGGTTACCTTTCGGCACTCCACCGGGGAAGGTACAAGTCTCCTCGCAATCACCGGAGATGGCCACGAACAATCACCAACTCGTGCCAATCCTCCTCCACTGCTCCAAGCCGTCTAGGTGGTGACAACCACCAAGAGCAACAAGTGAATCCCACAACGAAACACAAACACCAAGTGCCTCTAGCTGCAATCACTCAAGCAATGCACTTAGATTTTCTTCCAATCTCACAAAGATGATGAATCAATGATGGAGATGAGTGGGAGGACTTTGGCTAAGCTCACAAGGTTGCTATGTCAATGCAAATGCCCAAGAGAATGAGCTTGAGCCAGCCATGGGGCTTAAATAGAAGCCCCCGCGAAATAGAGTTGTTGGCTCTCTGTTCTCTGAAAAGTCAGGGTGACTGGACGTAGGACCCTAGCGTCCGGTCATGCGATGCACGCCACGTGGCCCCTGCTTCAAACGCTGATCGCCCGATCTCAACGGCCATCAGTACATTTAAGTTGTGACCGGACACGCTGCTTCGAAGTGACTGGATGTAGGACCTCAGTGTCCGATCGTTTCCAGTAAGGTTCCATTTGTGACTAGACGCGTCCGGTTGATAACAACCGGATGCAGGACCCCAGCGTCTGGTCACTTCCAGCAAGCATCCAGAGACAATTTTTCATGATCGGACGCGTCCGGTGATAGGGACATGAGCTCCATGCATACGGCCATGCTTGGAGATAGAGGACGAGGAGATCAAATGAGGTGTCCTCATCGATAAGGAGGCCAAGCTCATCTCGATTCGAGTCACTAAGGTGGAGGCCCAAATCAAGTTTGAGCCCATCTTGGGTTCTAGGACCAGTCTATCAAAAACTGGTCACACAGGCGTGTCCGGGGCTCCATTTTTGACGATCCACATAGGATGGAAAGCTAATTAGATAAGGAAGCCAATGCAACTGGTCTCACATCAAAATCCTTCGTAATCAACAGAATTGTCGAAACAAGTCGGC